AGCATGTGGGTGTCTGAAGTCATGATCTCAGAGTGATGCAGGTCTTCAGGTAATGTGCCAATGTCATGGTGGTCTTGGAAAAATATTGCAAGCTTTGAGCCACGTTATGTATCGTTGACTATGATTTATAGGCTTAGTTACGGAGATTCAATGCAAGGAGTAGAATACTATGGTAACAGGCTGACACTAACCTGGACTGCTGAGTAAAAGAGATTTCCACATTCAGAAACCACTTTTTTTTGTCTATTTTTAACGTGACTGACTTGATGTCTAAGTTAGACTTTGCTATTGCAGAATGCTTACTCTCCAAATACAACATTCGTTGTTAAGGGCTGTTTCCATGCTGAATTACAGGGATTGTTTCTATAATTATGTCATGTGCACTGCAACTGTATTTGGTAGATGACAGTCTTCTATTCCAAAGAAAAAATAAAATCCGGGAGTTTTTCAACAATACTTCCTTATTTGTCGTGTTGAATTTTCGATGTGTTTGTCCTTCAGTGTATTCTGATGCTTTTACAGAGTGTGGGGTTTGTAGGGAGGAAGGGCATGGGAAGGGACACCTTCAGAATCAATTCATCTGCTTCTAATAGAGTTGCTTAAATAGTTCAGATGAATCATCCTCTAGCATGCCTGTTTCTGTGGGCTATGGAATGAGTCTGGCAGGCTACCTGAGATTAGACAACTAACTTTTGAACTAGAAAAAGCTAGATGAGATGAACCTGTCCTTAGTTATTGGAACAGTGGTGGTTGCCTGAGTAATCCCAGAACACTTCATCTGTTTTCAGTTTTGCTTATTTTGAGTCCTGTTTTTTTTTCTTTTTCTGTCACAGGTGCTGATGTCTTTACATGAAATGTTCCCAGCAGTGCATGCAGCAGAAATGGCTGTTCAGAGAAACCCACGTTCCTGGGATGCCTGGCAGACTTTGGGACGTGCCCAGCTTGGATTAGGAGAGATAGCACTGGTAGGAAAACAGACAACATCAATAAGCTAAACTTGTAAACCACATCCTCCGAATTGTCTGTGAGAGAATGAAGTACAGAAATACGAAGGTAGCTGAATATCGTTATGTAACCTGAAAGTAGGCAAGGAAAAAGTTTGTTGTTGTTTGTCTCCATTATTTGCTCTACGTTGTTGTTTTTTACAAATGCTTCCTGTGTGGTTTTGTTGCTGGGCTTGTGGAAGGCCTGCCTAGCTCAAAGCCTTTTATGTTATGTACTGTATTTACGTGGTGGCTTTATGCAATAGAATAATTATGTCGACATAACTGCACATACTACATTCTGGGTACTGTACTGCTTCAGCGCAGTTCACCATAGTTTAAAGATGAAGGTACTGTGAAGTCCCAGTTGATATTCAGGCTCAGTTTTATACATGCCTGCTAATAAAATTCTAGTATCTTGTTTTCCCTGTCTCCTACTCTCCTGTGTTAGGTGCAGCAAATCGTGTGTGCTCATTCATGCTTTCCTCTGGCTCCTTGACTCAAAATGGTGGCTGAAGTTTGTTCTTGTCATAACAATAGCAAAAAGGCTGGAATGCTCTGCAGTAGCTGGAGTGCATCTTTTCCCTAGCTGCAGCTGTATGCCATGGTGCTGTCTTGGCTACATGATGTGATGCAAAGGAAGAGTCTTCCCCCGTGTCACATCACCCTCTGCCTATAGGCTATACACCTGTAAATAATGTAGCGCATATGTATATATAGTGTGATAGTTTTCTACTGGTTAGTGTGGAAACATAGCGAGTGTACTTTTTAATTCAGACAGGTTCACAAAAGTCCATTAGAAAAATAATTTGTCATGAGCTCTCAGATAAAAATAGGTACTGGTTTTATATCTAACAGAAGTAGCTGTGTGCTGGTTTGATACAAATACTTTTGTCATTAATTGAGAGTGTTTTTGCAAAGTTACAATGTTTGGACCAAAAATTTTCAAGAATAGAAAAATAATTATGATTTTTTTGAGGGAGGCTACCAAATCATGCAGTTTCTTTTTAAAATGTAGTAAAGTAGTATTTAAAAAAACACAAACCCAAACAATGAGAATAATGTAAGACAAAAGCAGTGTGTTGCAGATATGTACTGTGCTATCTTACGTTGTTGCAGTATCGTAATATGGAATATTTAATATAAGTCCATGCATATCTGCATCACATAATTGGTGACATTCCATGGCTTTTGTGGTCTGTAAGGTAAGAGTAAATGGTCTGTCCTGTCTGGATCTACAATCTATAAATTTTTATTTTCCTTTTAAGTGCTGGAAATTGTGTCTGTAAATTATGTCTGAGACTTTTAAATGCATTAGTCTCAGGAGATTCAAAGTTTAATTCCTGCAAAAATCCTAGGTAACAGATGCTGCTTATCCTATTAAAAAAAAAGCTACTGTTACTGTAATGTCAATTATAGATACTGATACACCAATACTAGTTACACCACCAGGTCTGCTCACCGGATTCTGTAAGCTTTGCCGACATTGGCAAGTCACATCGCACCAATAGGAGTGGATAACTTGAGTTAATAGCGCTGGGCACCCAATGTCCACGTTATTTGCATTTTGGTTTACTTCAGAGTAGCTCTGTTATTTGGAGAACTTCAGGGGCTCTCGGAGTGTATAGTCAAGCTTGCTTAGAAAGGAATGTAGTTTATGTAGCTTGAGACTATTCCGTGATGCAAAATGAAACATTTTAAGTGGGAACAATCAGAGATTTGCATAAAAGCACATTATTCATCTGAAACAAAAGACTGTTATAGATGCTCCTGTAATTGTTATATTGACCTCACTGTCTGTGAAGAGAGAGGGAGGAGGAGTTATCACCACGTAGTTTGCCCTGTGTTGAGTAGGGAGCCCAGAGGTGGGCCCATCTCCTAGTCGTGTCTCCAGTGCTTTAGTACTGGGTGTTTCTACTTTTTTGCCTTTCAGTTCTTTGAGGCATATTGAACTGCCTTCTGATGAATATGTTCTCATGTACAATGAACACTTAGGGAGTTCTTTTAAAATGCAGATAATGTTCACTATTTATTTTTGAACCCAGCAATTCTTAAGGAATCTTAAAAGGTTAAGACTGAAGAAGTCTTAAAAGGTTAAATGATTTCATAATTATTGAAACCATGGAGGCTTCTTACCGGGTGATCTAAGTCATAATTATCCTTTTCCCATTAGCCTTTCATTACTATGATCTTACAATTTTTCACCACATTGTATTTTTTACAAAGAAAGGTTAATAAAGCATACATGTCAGGGCATTTTAGTAATGTTTGAGATTTGGGCATTACCACCCTTCTCAATAGCAGCTTCTTTGTTTCATTTCTCCCCACCAACGTCTATCTTCACTATCCACATACTGCTAAATGGTCTGTTGTAAGTATATTTATTTCTTGACAATGACTGATACGCTTTTTCTTAGGAAAAAAACAATTTACTGTATTTTAATTTCAGGTTTCCCCAGTCTAAAATATAGGTTCCAAACAAGTCTAATTTATATTACGAGATCCGTAATATATTCATTGCTTACAAAAAAGAAGTTTTGTTTTTGTCAAACTTGTGACAGAAAGAGTGAGATAAAATAGCCCCTCTTTATTTAGCTTTTACAAAAGCAGTTTGCTCTTTTTTCTGAATTTACTGAACAGGGTAATTCAACAGTGATACTTAAATGTGAGCAGGCAGAACTTTATTTCTGTAAAGGGAGAAATGCCTTAAATTCTACAAATCAGATTCTACAAATCAGATTCTACAAATCAATTTGCAAGAGCACACCTGAATAACCTTTGCAATATGAACGTAGAAACTGTAGAAATGTGGTCAGCTATTAAAAGGTTCTTCCTGACAGTTTAAGGTTAAAATAGATCAGACATTTATCATGCAGATTGTATCATATAAACTATTAAACTAGAGTGAAAATACCAGAAATAAATGGATTCTTTTTTTGTTAAAGAAGAGAAATGTAATGAGAACTCTTTAAATATACTAGAATTTCATGAGTGTCTTTATGCTAAAGGTTTCTGTGAAAATTAGTTATTTGTGTTCACGTGAGTAGTACAAGAAGTAAGCCTTAAATTCTAATAAATGTCATAGAATCATCAAATGGTTTGGGTTGGAAGGGGCCTTACAGATCACCTAGTTCCAACACCCTGCGGTGGGCAGGGACACCTTCCACCAGACCAGGTTGCTCGAAGCCCCATCCAACCTGGCCTTGAGCACTTCCAGGGAGGGGGCTGAAGCTCTAAAAACCCACCAGAACAACACTAGAACTGGAAACAAACTGTGGCACCGAATTGTCCTGGTTTTGGTTAAAACAGAACCGATTCTCTTTTAGTGAGTCTTCATTACATCTAAGTTCTTCTAAGTAATGGCATTTTTCTGAAGTTGGTTGTTTATTTTTCAGTGTCCACTCCAGAGCTGATAACACCTGGTGTTTGTAGTTTTACTGAGCTAACGGTAGGAATGGAAGGCAGAAAAAGGCCCACGTTTATAATTATTTCTATAGCAGCCAAGGTCCCTGACAGACCCTTTATGTTCAGCAAGTGAGGAGCCGTAAAGGGTCGCACTTGCGCGGGGGTGAGCAGAACAGGTGACCCGACATGGACCAACGCTGTATTCCATGCCATGCACCTCATACTCAGTTTAAAGCTGGGGGATCATGGGGGTCTCGCTCTCTTTGTCCATGGCCGGCTTCTGAAGAGGACCCTGCTCCTTGTCCTGCCTGCGATCCTGATTCCGATCTGTGCATTTCCAAGTCCAGTTCCCATCTACTGCAATGTCCAGTCCAGGGCTTCCTGGTGCTGCCTGGCAGCTGCTGGTGGGACGCCAGCGCCCGCAGCACCCGGTGCTGGGAAACTGGGTTTTGTGTATTTAGTTTTATTGCAATTGGTATTATTAGTGTTATTAGTAAAGGTGTTCTGATATCCCATTTGTAAGTCTCTCTCCCTTCTCCTCCACTTTCCCTTCCTCTGGTGGGAGGGCGGGGGTTAGTAGAGACCATCTGCCACTGTTCATTGCCACCCTGCTCTCAGCAGTGATATGATGCTCCAGCCCTTGGATCATCTTTGTGGCCTCCTCTGGCCCCGCTCCAACAGGTCCATGTCTTTCCTGTGCTGAGGGCTCCAGAGCTGGACACAGGACTCCAGGTGGGCTCTCAGCAGAGCAGAGGGGCAGAATACCCTCCCTCGACCTGCTGGCCACGCTGCTTGTGATGCAGCCCAGGATACGGTTGGCTTTCTGGGCTGTGAGTGTACACTGGGGGCTCCCTGACCAACTTTTCGTCCACCAGTACCACCAAGTATTATGTTGGATGCTGTAAAAAAATCCATATTTAAGGATCATTAAAGACAGAAAAAGATTACTCATAGATATAACATATCTTCACTAATGGACATCCTTTGATATAGGTCAGGTAGTGTCTGTCAGAGGTAACATAAATGCCTAAAACAAGCCTTGGGAATAGACGTGAACTGCATAATCTCTTAAAATGCTCCCTTACCTTTTTAGGAGGTCACAGTATAGTGACAATAAGTCGGTCCATGTGTTACAAAAACATGTTATAAAAAGTGTAGTCTGATCAAAATCACCCTTCACTCTCAAAGACTCTGAAACCAGCAGAAGAGATTCTGTTCGTGGGACAAATGAAAGATTGATTGCTACAGCCTGCCTTATAGTGAGAGAAAATGTAAAATACTGTAAAAATACAATTTCTTCAAATGTAATTCAGCAAGTGAGAATGTCTTGCAGTAGATTTTATAGTACTCTTCCCTACAGAAGCAAAAGCAGATACGTAAATCAGTACTGATGTAAAATCCCATAGTGTTTACATCTAGGGTCTCCGAGATCACAGCTACTCTTTAAAATGAGACTAGAAATAATAAGTTTAGCTAGTGCCACCACATTTTCCTGTGATGTCAGGCGAACAGTCGAAGAGGGAGATTTAGATCTCCATCAGTGAGCGAATTAAAAGTAGCACTGTTATTAATACAATAGAAATAATGTCTTAATAGAAATTAATGGCTGTGGAAGCAGTGGCAACATGAAATCTTATGTGGATGAGAACTCTATATTTTCAGTATTACACTGAAACGAATTCCTCTGATCTTTTGCAACACTTTATTATTATTATTAATTATTTATAAAAATGTCACACAGCCTTTTTTCTAATAGTTTTATGAAGATGATTATTTCATGCTGTATTTTGTGAATCATCAAGGCATCTTCTAAGCTTATTAAATCACAGAATGGTAGGGGTTGGAAGGGACCTCTGTGGGTCATCTAGTCCAACCCCCCT